GATGAGCCAATGTTCATAAAGCACTCACTGAATTCATATGTAATATCACAAGAGTTTTATTTTCAGCACCAAACTGAGCTGGGAATGGGCTGTAAAGGACGTTGGATGACTGTTTTATTTTTATACTGTGCAACAATCTCTTCTGTTCCTTCTGCACTTCCTGTAGTACTGTATGTGATTACAGAGATTTAATCACATGCTTAACTCATGTGCAAACGTATCGCTTGCCATAAACCAAATACACACTACAGAACTGAATTTTTATCTTCATTTTTCAGTCATATCACTTAGCATTACTTTTGATTCCTGCTAAATTATCCCGAGATGGATAATTGGCATTTGGTGCCTTGAGCTTATCAGAACTTGAATACGATAGATCCTGAACTGTTGCACTTCTGTGACTAATTCTGTGCTTTTGTCAGTTTATTATAGGACTGCTTGTACAAGAGACTTGCATGTTCGTCAAACACTTTAAACAAGGCTTAGAGGTCCCATACTGTATGAAGTGAGATTTCCATGTGTTCTTTGATTATAAAGCAGGTCCAGGTTTTATATTAATACTGTGAAAGTATCAAAGCGCTCAGTCCAAAGAGAAATGCCTGTATTCAGAAACTAAGCCTTAAACAAGCCGTCAGGACTTCTGTAACTTTGTGATGTCACAACAAAGCAGTCACCGCTCTCGGCCATGCCCCAGCCCCGGCCCGTCAAGCCTTGCAAGATTTGGTTTCTCTGAGCGTTTACCTGAAATCTGGGTTAGGGTTAGTGTAAAGTAATGTTAGTGTATTGTAATACAGTCCCAGTTTCATGTCTACCAATTAAAGCTGAGCTGGACAGTGATTCAAAGTTTCTGCCTTCAGACTTGGAAGAATCTAAAGTTAGGCTTAAATAAATTCAGACATGTAGAGACATGTACATTTCTTCGTGTCAGGATCGCACACATCTCTGACTATATGGAGTTTAAGATGACAAGGGGGAATGAAGCAGGAATGGCTTATGCCAGCACTGTGATGCCTCCAACCTTCATGGAGCCCTGCACGCTACAAGATAACGAACTCTCTGCTTCTTTGGGATCAGCTGACGTTGTGTAACCGTTTTAGACAAGGTCCAGTCATTCTGGTATTTTTACTAGATATTGACCTGAAAAAGGTAAAACTATTCATGAAAAAAATAATAATAATAAGGTGAGGAGCAGGTTTACTTTGACATTTTGTATTAGATCTATGAGATACACTACATGAAGACATCTTGGTGGTGTATGGTGTGTGTTTCACTTTTCTAGCTGTGTGGGCACAGCCACATCTTACAGAGAATGTCAGGCTATTAAAAACATGGGGGAATTGAGGGAATCGCTATAAAGGCAGAGAAAAAGCAAACTTGGGTTCGTGTCAGAGAGCCAAATAGCTTTCACCACCCAGACTGACCTTCAGCATACACAGAAGCACACACACACACACACAGATACAAATGTTCACAGGATGTGACCATAAACCATAATGCACATCCCTTATTACAGGGAGTGAGCCTTGGCTGTGTGCCATTTTAAATGCCACAGACTCCACAGGGTAATGACTGATCAACCTGAGTTTGCATCTAGCAGTGCCGAACATATTATCTCCAAAGCCAACTGTAAAACTGGCTGGACAGAGAGAGGCAGCATCACATTATTTGATAATTGCCACGTCCATCCAATAATGTCCAACCGTATGCGGATGTGTTAGCTCTCCTGTCCTTTTCCACCTTCCAGCTGCAATAAGCGACATTGCTACACAGTCTGGAAAGCAAAACATCAGCTAGTACTGATGATCCTACAAGAAGCAGCACGCTAGACTGCAGCATTTTGCAGCTTTCAGCTCATGTGTTTGGCTTGGCAGTCACACCAATCAAAACAATTCCCCTTCTTATGAAAACATAAGCAACTGTAAATTTCCAAGCACAAAATGTAGTGAGTGAAAAAGTGGCAGGTTAAGAAAAACAAACATCTAGCAAAGAAACTACAACAAGATATTTCTTATCACTTCTTGGTAAAATAACAGATTCTTTTTTTGTTTGTTTGTTTGTTTTACAAATCATACGCTTGGATTGATGTGATTTTACTATGTTTTTTAGTCAGTGTGATATTGTCTGAATGGATGGGGATTATGGATAAGCATTTGAATTGTTTGTATTTTTTTAAAAATGCACCCCAGGAAGAGCTGTTGTTGCTAAGGTAACAGCTAATTGGGATTTAAAAAATAATAAACAATAAAAACCGAACCAAGATTCCAGCAAAAACATTTGAGAGGCGGTGACAAAGGTCGACACCCTGGCAGCTGTGTAACCTGATATTTTGCTGTACCGAAGCTTATCACTGTTAGTTACCAGCAACTGTCTACCATATTAGTGTTTAACACTACTAAGAAAAACCACTTAACAACTAAGCTGCCTGTGTTACGCAACGAAGCCATGAATCTGCTGAAAGCAAGAGAAAAGCAGGGAACTGTGCTCCTTTCTTGCTCATTCTGATGAGGCATGAGATGGCCGGCAATGCCAGTGACAAGCAGATCTTGTCAATGTAAGCTGCTGCGGGAGCAAAAAAAAAAAAATACTTGTGCTAAGCCCCCCTGAGTAAGAGGAGCGGTAAAGCCTTGACCCGTGAGATGCAGTGGGAATTGAGGTGGAAGAGGGGGCGAGAGAGCAAGAGAGTGAGATAGTGAAAAGCTGGCTGGTGAATAAGACAGGCTGGACAGGGGAGGTCTAGTGCATCAGGATATGACCAATCCAAATACCTGGACTAATGCGTGAAGCTGGGAGCATATTGTGATCAATACCCACCACTTGAAAAGAACATGCAATACATACAGACCTGTAGGCATACAGTACATAACGCAATGGTACATCTTAATTTCTCCAACAGCTCAATATATTGAAGGGAGGATGTGTTGTAAACAAACAGTAGAAGGGTAAATAAGGTTGAATATTTGTGATATGCTGAAATACTTTTTTATTTGATGTGATTTATGTGATAGGACCCCAATATCCTACACCCAGTGTCATATGTACAGAACTACTGACTGGTGTCTGTGTGCATTTTTTTTTTTAGGGTATATTAGTTTATATAAACTTGCCATTGGGCGCCATTCTCCTCCCTTTCCACTTCCCCTGGCTGTTACAGATTTCAAAATCCACTTCGCTACGGGAAACTACAACAACCTCCGAGCTAGCAAGCTACAAGCGGAAAACGGCAAAGTTTTGATAAAGATTTGGATCGTGCAATCACACAGTCGACATACGTGTTCGCTGTTTTTTGTGGCGAGCATTTTCTCCCCCATCGGCAAATTAGATAATAGGTGCAGCCAGACCCTTCTCCAGCACTGACACAGCACTGTGGAGACAGGTCTGGCTGTGAAAGACCAGGGGGTATATCGATGCTCTTATATGTGAATTAGTTAAATCATGTGGATAGTCTTAAATTAAAAAAAACAAAAAAAAAAACAGCTGTCTTCAGGCTGCATTACTAAACACTCAACAAGAGATTAGTGGTGGTGGTGGTAGTGATGGTGTGTGTGTGTTTGGCTGGGAATAGGTATATGAAATTACACATGTGAAAGCCATATCTGGAACAAAGCTGGGAGGCAGATAGGACAATAAGGAAGACGGTGCTGTTACATCTCTCAGCAGGTAAAGACATGCAAAATCTCACTGATTCGGAAAAAGGGTAACGCACTTGAAATGGCTGCTGGCAGGATTTCTTTATGGATAGTAGAAATGTTATGTCATCAAGATAAAACCAGAGGAAAGGCTTACTGAAGCGTTTCTCTTTTCAGTGTTTTCAGACATCACCAGTTTGGAAATTCTAATTGGGAAAGAATCAAGCTGCAAGTACTGTAAAAAAATAAATAAACAGGCAATAAACGATCTATTTATCAGGTAATTATAAGTAAGCTGCTGATTCATAAAACCACAAGTTACAGTCGGTTTAAATAATGTAGGTACAGATTTCCCTACAGCGGTCCGTGCTTACGACGGCAAACCTATAACACTGTGTCAGCATGTCTTATCAAGTTCAGCCCTGTAGTTAATGACAGAATTTAAAAGGTACAAACAGTTTAAGACTACTTAAAAGTGAAAATGAAAACAAGTGTACATGAGCAACCTGATCTTTTTCTCTTTTTGCTTCAGATGTAGTGGAGCAGGAAACAGCGCAACAGTTTGACAATTTCTAAAACAGAGCTGAAGACTTTGACAGTATTTTCAGACACTCACTGAACCCGTCTTCATATCAGTGTTCAAACCAAACACATTTTTCAAGACGTGCTGACATCCCATTTAACGCACACTTCATTTCACTTGTCTGTTCAGGTCTGTGCTAAACCTCTAAAACCTTCTTAACTGTTCCTCATTTCCACAAAACTGCAGACAAGGCCATCACATCCATTTTAGTAAAATAAAAAAAGGGCACAGCTCCTGCTACATTCTACCTTGAGCCTCTCAAAAAAAAGCCTTCTCCATCGATCTGGAAAGATGTGAAAGAGGCACAGCTGCATAAACAATCCTCTCAAGTCTTTAGAGGGTTTTGAAATATTAACAAAAGAGCTTGCAGGTACATCATTTTGCAGCAGCAGCTATGGCAGCAGAGGGAAAACGTGTTTGAGTCCTATTATAAATCACACAATACAGCAACAACATTGCACATCCAGGCCCGGCTTGTCCCCCCGGCAACCTGACAGCAAAATCCCGTCTTTACAGATGGCTCTCGGAGAGAGAATCTGTACATGTGTATGCCTGCTTCGAGCGAGTGCGTTTGTAATTCTGTTTTATTAATGAAAATATAGTAATCAGGAACTGCAGGTGGCATTATCACTCTTTTACACATGTATTTACGTGTGTGTGTGTGTGTGTGTGTGTGTGTGTGAACATACAAACACAGAGGAGAAAGCTGACGGAAAATAAAGAAATTCTCAGTCGGCTCAGGCTAATTTCATCCACTCCACTTCCCCTCACATGAAAGAAGTAGGACTTACAGATCTTGTGCTTCCCTTTCATGGGGAATTTCACCAGCAGCTCCTGAGGGTTGGTGCAGATGAAGACGAATGGGGAAGCAGACTCCTCACAGGTATCAGGGAACTGCAGGGTTGGGGTGGGGGTGGGGGTGAAGAGAAGAACAGTTTAGCATCATCTTACACACAACTACCATGACCATATTGTGCACAGAATATGTTAAAGCTCATGATGCCCCGTGTCACCGATATGAATCATTCAGTGAGTCTCTCTATTTGGATGCCTACATCAAGCTAACCGTCCTCCTTGCCTGATGTAATACTACATGCCCGACAGCAACTGATAGTTATGAGTCTCGCTTAGGATCTTGTGCACTATAATCGCACAACTAATGATGCAGCCGCTAATGAGACCAGTTGCAACCACGTGCGAACAGCGGAGATGAGACGAGATTTATTACGACCAGCACCAAAATCAAACATCCAGGGACTTTTTTTTCCAGATGCAATCTCACGTGTAGACACACTGTGAAAGAGAATATTGCAGCACAATAACAAAATGATTAAAACCGTGCGCACAATATTAATGTGTTCACTTATTAATTACACACAGAATTTTTAACTTCGAGCGTATTATAATTTACTAAAAAGCTTACTTCTGAATCTACAGATATACATCACTTTGAGCCGCATCCTTGACATATTAATGTGTGCCATACAACATTCCTATGAAGGAGAGGGTGTTTTACAGCACATAACTGACAGCAGCCTACAGCACACAGAGGCCTGGAGACAAGAGAAAGCCTCTCTCTCTCTGTGTTATTGATTGGTCTCTCAGGTGAGAGTCGGGAATTGACTGACACAGTGACAAAGGAGTCATCTTTCCCATCACTGGCAGCCAACGGCTCTCAGCTCATCCAATTTCCTCCGGCGCTATCAGATAGTGCCCATGATTGCATCTAGCCAGCCAGGAAGTGGCTCTTTTCATGACAGCATGCTTTTTCCTCCCCCCCCCCCAACCCTCGATATCCACCTCTCTTATTCACAGCCTCCCTATCTCCCTCAAAGGAGCACCGAAGGTTGTGACAAATTTGGGGCTTTTAAGGGAAATCGACAGTCAGCGATCCATCTGTACTGCCCCTGACAAACTGGGTAAAGATGATAGAGATGTTTATTTCAGATTACAGTCCATGTCAACCCGAGCGTAATACACCGGCGAGTGATAAAATACGTAAACACTCAGAGTCATTAGACATTGGTGGGGACCCTAAAAGAGCCCCTTGATTTCTTCTTCCTGCGGTAAATGACACACTGATTCCAATTAAATTAGGTCTTCCAGTCAAGTGTGATGTCTCCTCGTTAGAAAGCTCCCAACAGCCCTTTAAAAAATAATCTGCAATTTAGTGGAGGGTTAAAAAAGGTGAGGGTTGTAAGTGCAACAAAAGTGGTGTTTAGGGAACTCTGTTTTTCTTACCGTCAACAAAAACCAAAATCAACAATAGATCTGTTCTTCCAATTTATCTATACTATTTAGCCTGTGTAGCTAAAGCCTGATGCTGCGTATTCCTCTGTGCCACAGAGCTCCACTGTTGACCAAAATGATTAAAAACACTTCACTGTTAAACTGTGCAACATGTTCCTTCATTGCCATGAACACAGGCTCTGTAGTTTATTTTCCAAATACACCCATCCTGCCGCAGCGAATACTCACGAGCACCACAGATATGTATTAGGGTCGGTTCATGCTCTGTCAGAACTAGTTCTTACAACGTGTTGTTAAACCACATCAGAAATCAAGTGTTTATTGTTCTGAGTGGCCACACTTGAATCCTGTTGGCATAGACGGGGGCGGGTGGAGGCAATATTGTTTAAATATGGGGGAAAACAGCAGATATTTTCTGACAGTTTCTCCAGGAAAGCCTTTATAGTGTTCACATGAAACGTGCTCCAAAAAGTTGTGTAACAAATTTTTTAAAAAATAAGAAAAAAAAAAGAGAGAGCTGGAGAAAGAGAGAGAGAGAGAGAGAAGTTCAAACTCAACAGACTTTCTCAACTCTCGCATCAAGGTGTGAAGCGGTGGGGAATGTCGGGTGTTTGGAAAGCAGTAGTCCCCAACAAATGCAATAAAAGGCTCTTTCAGTAATGTTTGGTAAAAAACTACAGAGCCCCACAGTTTGTGTAAATTGCTGAGCCTTTCGTGTAAATGAAAATGTATTTGTGACCTAGTTACAAACGAGCAGCACCGCATGAGAAAGAGACACCTCATTTATTGTGGTGCCGCCGCCGCCGCCGCCGCAGCGATGAGGTGGCGGCACGCGGTCCTGGTAGATTGACTGTTTACATTGTGATTGTGATTGTGTAACGAAAGATAAAATAATTACCAGAGTTGTAAAATCCTGTCTCATAATTTCCCACAAGCTCTTTCGTGTTGTGATTTGGCGTCTGATAAAATTTCAAACTCTGTATCTATCGCTCAAACTGGATTTCCTGGATGGGATCTAATAACCACCTGCCCCCATCCACGTAGACCCTTGTATGTGTTTCTAAACACAGAGATTCTTGTTGGTTTTCATCTTTAAAGGGATTTGTTGACAAGAAGGAAAATGTAGAAAACACTAGTCTTTAAGGTTCATATCAAAACATAAAAGAAACAAAATGGTTAGCGATCACATTTACAACGTCGGCCACACTGTCCGCCTTTTTCTAGTTTATATTAACAGAGAGCCGAGTGTTTTCCCGTAGCAATTAACACCCATTAGGTTAGGACGAATGGATCCCTTCTTTAAAGTAGCCAGAGGGGACATGAAATTCCACCTACAATGTAAAGATCGATCCTGTGAACTGTTAACACCGTGCAGTGCTTCTCAAATAGCTTACTCAGGTGAGCAACTTTCCAGAGTCTTCCTTTAAATGTACATTAGGAAGACACTTTAATCCAGAGTGGTTTAATTCGTGCACAGTGATTAAGTTTAAAGAGCCGTTAGTCAGCGTCATTCATTGTTAGATTTATACAAAACGGCATGTAATTCTGTGGTTCAGCAGTGATTTGATTACGACAACAGTTATAGACCCGGGTCTTGAGCGAACAGCAATCAACAGGAATTAATATGCGACAGCCGTCTGGTGTAAACGGGTCAAATGTTGGTTAAACACATAAACATAATCCTGTGCTTGTGTTTAAATAGTAGAGAAAACACAAAAACCACATTACAATTTTTTTTTTTTTACTGAAGTTCAAATACTATGAGAATATTTCTACTTTCTAAGAATAATCAAAAAGGGAATGGAAAGGGGAAGTATGATAGCTACGAGCACAGACAGAAGGAGCGATTATGCAAAAAGGAAGGAAGTTACACCAGGCGCTTTTTTGGAAAAGATGAGTTCAGCCTCATTTGAGATCATTACCAAAAGAAATTTCACGTTACACAAGATGGCTGTAATGTCGGAAGGTATTCAAGGAAACAAAATGGTGGTGGTCTTGCTAAAGTCAGATGAAACGAGCATATCCGCAGCCGGAGCTCGAGTGTGGAGTGTGAGAGACCCCGCCAGTTGCCTGCTCTTTCATCCTCCATTAGCTAATTAGCATTTAAAGCTGTTGAATGTGCTGCTTTGCCTCACTACCTCCCCCACCTAATTGTTTCCATTCCATGTTAATCAAAAGGGCATGAAACGTTGTGGTTGTGTGACACGGAGGTTTGCTAAAGCCCTCTACATTCATCAGGAAGGATCTAATGCAGTCAGAGCGGACCTCCTTACAAATGCAATTAAAGCTGAGCTTGTTGAGGTACACAGGTATTGAATTATGAAACTGTGTGTGTGTATTTATGTGAAAACACTGTGAGTGACAGCGGCTGTCACACTGAATTCAGTTAAGACTGATCCAAGTTGTTACTGTGACGGTTTCTTAATCTGGTAGTTCAGGGTTACAGCCCCAGGGCAATCTGGGTAGTGGGACCCAAGTGTTTTACATGGAGGAGATCTGAGGGTGTACGTGTAGTGACAGTGTGACAGGTGCATTAAAGTGTCTCAACGTGAGTTGAGCATCACTAGTCAGTTGCTTCAGGCAAGTTTTACTTGCTGCTAGAAGTCAGACAATAGTGAGACAATGACCCCGCAGCTTCTGCTGGATCACAGACATCACCAACAACTCAGACTCAACACAACAGTGCGTGTTTACCACATCTTCAGGCTCCAAACTGTTTTCAGAAAATAGACCTCACCCTCACAAGGCTGAACGACACGCAAAAAAAAAAAAAAAAATCATATTGAGATTATTCCAGCAGATATTGCGATAATGATACGAGTCATGATTTCAGATTTCAATGGTTATTTTTTCTTTTCATTTTCACTGAAAACATGTGAAAATGATGATGATGTGATTTTTGTTGAGGCTTGTACTAAACAAGGAAGTTCCCTTATGTATGGAGAATATGATTTGTAGGTCGGCTCATCTCTGTAGCACCACGATGCTTCATTCAGGGTCTGTTCTGACACATTTTACCTTCATCAAAAGAAAAGCAACTCTTGCGATTTGGATGTTGCACTTGGCCATACTGTGATTTGGACAATAGTTTGATTAACACTAGCTAGTATGGCAACTTGAGACGAAGGTAAACATCATGTTATGTGTATCCACATTCATTTTTAACTGCTGATCAGGTTGTGTGTGTCGTTCATCCAGTTAATTAACTTAAAGGAACAGTTCAACATTTAGGGAAAGGCACTTTCCTGCAGAGAGTTAGAGCTCTCTCATGTCTGTACAGTAAATTTGAAGATACTACCAGCAGCCAGTTAGTTGTGTTTAATCAGCTCTTCTGGCCAGAGACTGGAAAACCAGTTGGTGCCCAAACAATTTAAACTGAAGCATCTTTTTATTTGAAGACCGGACATACTGCCATGCTTTGATAATACGTGCTGAAGCAGGATGAGTGGGAGGCAACGGGCTGTAAATATGGATTCAAAACATTTTACCAAGAGCCCAGCTGAGTGGAAAACTACATACAAAATACTAAACAGCAAAATGGAGAGGTGAGAAATTTCATAGAGCTTCACAGCTTCTTCAGAGACTGCCAATTCAATAAACTGCCCACTATTTAATTTGCTGGGATCAAGCCAGAGGGGATTCAA